TTGTCAAAGGAGGGGGCTTTGTAGAAAACGAAGCGTTTGAGAGAGGCGGGGCATAGAGGACCTACAATAATGTACAGTATTTTAAAAATAATGTGTTTTTTGAACATTAAAGCATGTCAACATATTCTGTTACACCAAATAATGATCTTTAAAATAACATCATATGACCCCTTTAATCGGAGGTATGATAGAATGTCTATTTGATCAAATGTTTAAGGCAGGTGAGTTTGATCAGGGAACTCTTGCTTTTCAGTACTGAGTTTTCAAGAGTATTTATAATCAAGATTTCTTTCATTTTGTCCACCATCTTGAATATCTTTTTTTCACTGACTTCCACAAAATGACAAAGGGACTGATGGATTTACGAAGGAAGTTTTTCTAATATGAGGCAACTTACTAAAGCAGTGATACTGAACTGTACTGAAGAGTTTAGCTCCAACTCGAATTAAACATCTCCTAATATCAAACATGCTGACTATGTAGACAGCTCACTAGGTTTTGAAAAGGGGCAATAATCTCACTTTTTCTATTGTTAGTTTTTCATCGTTTTTCTTCTTTTCTTTGACATGGGAAACCTGAGGATAAACAAACATGGATAAAGACAGATGAGAGTTGAATACAGTTGCTGCAGCTGCTTTTATCTGTATGGTTCACTCAATCCTTCATGCACATATTCACATTTCCGTTTCATCATTTAGCAGACGCTTTTATCCAAAGCGACTTACAAATGAGGAGAACAATAGAAGCAAGACCAACGAGAGAGCAACAGTATACAAGTGCTGTGACAAGTTTCAGTTAGTCTAGCACGGTACACATATAGCTTTTTTTTATGTTTTTTTGTAGATAATGGACTTCTGAGGTTGCATATTCTTCTTACCTTCTGCCCTGGTTCAACAGCCTTTGATAATTTGTTCTTCAAAGGAACAATAAATGTAACAACTGCTCTGAGTCTGTGTCATGACAGACCAGGGGCATAGCCATCATTTCAGAAGTGAGGGGGACAGAAATGTTATATATATAAAAAACATTACAATATAACATTTCTGTAATCTATATAACCTACCAGTCAACAGTTTTTGAACAGTAAGATTTTCAATGTTTTATAAAGTAGTCTCTTCTGCTCACCAAACCTGAATTTATTTGATCCAAAGTACAGCAAAATCAGTAATGTTGTGAAATATTTTTACGGTATAAAATAACTTTCTATTTGAATAGATTTTAAAATGGGGGAATTGGTGATCCTCTGCCCATCTTGACTTCTGAGAGACACTGCCACTCTGAGAGGCTCTTTTTATACCCAATCATGTTGCCAATTGACCTAATAAGTTGCAAATTGGTCTTCCAGCTGTTCCTTATATGTACATTGAACTTTTCCGGCCTTTATTGCTACCTGTCCCAACTTTTTTGGAATGTGTAGCTCTCATGAAATCCAAAATGAGCCCATATTTGGCATGACATTTCAAAATGTCTCACTTTCAACATTTGATATGTTATCTATATTCTATTGTGAATAAAATATAAGTTTATGAGATTTGTAAATTATTCCATTCCTTTTTTACTCACAATTTGTACAGTGTCCCAACTTTTTTGGAATCGGTTTGTATATTCAAATAGAAAACAGTTATTAATAGCCTAGTAAAAATATTTCAAAATGTTACTGTTTTGCTGTACTTTGGATCAAATGAATGCAGGCTTGGTGAACAGAAGAGGCTTCTTTAAAAAACATTTAAAATCTTACTGTTCAAAAACTTATGACTGGTAGTGTATAGTCAACTCATTTCTAGCTTTTAATTGGCTTAGAAATCAGATAACTGCTGGACAATAACCAATACGTGTGTTTCACGTGTGTGCATCATATACTCGAAATGTCCTTTCTCACTTTCCGTCAACACGCTCGTCGTCCCGGAAGTAGCATGAGCTGAAATGTTGACAGTGACACCCATAGACATATAGTGACACTCATAGACATATGGTGACACCGCCCAATGTGATAGGACAGGACAGGAGGAGGAGAAAACTGTAGAGGCTGTAAAAACGCTTTCTTTACTCTAGACGGCGCGTGGAAGCCCCGAGCTCCGACCCGCCACTGAACCACACTAAAATGAGTGCCGCAAAAACAGAATGATCTACACGCCATTTTCAGTATGTCTTTTAAATATAGCACTTTTAAAGAGTGCTACCTGACATAAAAAAATAAAAAGATCGCGCAGAATGTTTAAATAAAGACATTGAACGAACACACCACTCTAATAATCACAGACGTCAGTGATTGGCCCATCCGTGCAGCGCTGAGAAAAGTAACACGTACCACGTGCTCAGGCCAGCACCGTGACGCTGAGGCGGTTTTAACCAGAGAGCTTAAAAACAAACAAAAACGTTAAATTAAAAGATATACATACACGGCGAGAATTTACAGCCATTATGAGCTATTTCATCCGTTTTGCTAACTTTATCCAGATTTTCAGGCCCGCCCCCTAAAATACTGTCAACCAACCCGCAAGCGGCAAACTCAAACCCACAAATGATTGACAAGGAGGAGGCGCTTCTGATTGGCTAAACTTAGGAACGCTCCCGCCTCGATTCGTTGTTTGTTGTCGTTTACAGAGCTGTCTCAGAAGCCGAGAGACAGGTATTTCAGGGCACCTTAGTAAAGTCTGTGGGGTAATAGTGAGGTTTAATGAGCGGCATTAAAGAAATAGCTCGGAGCACCTAAAAGTGTCATATTAATGTGTACTTTGACCAGCCGTACCTCCAAGCCCCGCCCACCCGGCTCTGCTGTTTCATACTCAGTTGTCATTCCTCCCGCATGTTGTGTTTCTATGACTGGAATGAGTAACGTTAACGGTCAAGCTTGGTCCAGACTTTCTCACCCAGAGCTCTTCTGGTCTATTACACTCATGCTTTGATAGCTGCGGGATCGAAATGGCGTCTCGAGCGCTGTACTCGGTGAGTGTTACAATATTTTCGCATGCTTTCTGTCAAAGTAGCACATGCTTGCAACACTTGCAGTGTGTGAATCTCTCACAGAGCTTCCTCTAATATTCTCCTTCAAGGAAACATTAATAAGCACATTGCATGTCCAGTGCACACGAGCGTTTCATGAACCAAATCAAATCTCTCACATGAGTTTAAAAAATGATTTAACATGGTTTTAGGGCCATATGCCATTAGAAAACCATACTGTCCAGCTATCTGTAAACTCTGACAGCATTTTATTAATTATAGCAGTAATAATCAAATGTATGTGTGTTTAAGCAACATACGTTTGTAGCTGTTTAGTTTATTTTCTTTGCATAGCTTAGAAATAAATGGACACACCCTCATTATTTTATATTCCACATTTTAGAATAACAGTAAAGGCAAAACTACTTTAAAAACACAAATGAATTAATATAAATAATGTAGTGACCACAAATAAGTTATCTTATTTAAGTTATCTTACCAAAAAAAATATTATAGCATATACTGTATGATTTTATATAAAGTTTATAATATTATAGAAAGTGCTATATTCATAGGTACAATTCACATTTGTTAATTTGAACAAACATATATCAATTTAAAACAAATCAAAATAAACTCAGTAAGTCAGTCATAAGTGAATATGTCTGTAATATTTTGTGCGTGTGTGCCAATGCGCATCACGAGTATCAGTCCTTGCCATTTTTATTCTTCAGTTTTTTTTTAATTTGATTTTTGATGTACTGTAATTGCAATGTATTACAGTTTTAAAGAAGCAGAAGCAGAAATGTGATCAAGTAAACGGTCTTATTATTTTTGAAAAATATGATTTCTGTCTTCATACACAGCCTAGGCATCCAGTGCTGAAGAAGCGGGATGATTTTGAAGACGTTCTGGAAGAGAGAAGACGCTCCAGTGATCTGAGATATGCATTGAGATGCTACACTCCCACACTCTATAAAGGACTCGTGCCCTGCAAGGCCAGCATGCTAAAAAGCATCGTTCTGCAGTCAGACCACCTGCAGTATGTCATTAAACAGGTACAGAAACAACCCAGAGCACCACCGTTCTCAATGCCACAGTTTCGTGCAATAACTAGGAACCCTAAATCAAGTGAGGCATTTTACAGGTGCATCTCAATAAATTAGAATGTTGTGGAAAAGTTCATTTATTTCAGTAATTCAACTCAAATTGTGAAACTCGTGTATTAAATAAATTCAATGCACACAGACTGAAGTAGTTTAAGTCTTTGGTTCTTTTAATTGTGATGATTTTGGCTCACATTTAACAAAAACCCACCAATTCACTATCTCAACAAATTAGAATATGATGACATGCCAATCAGCTAATCAACTCAAAACACCGGCAAAGGTTTCCTGAGCCTTCAAAATGGTCTCTCAGTTTGGTTCACTAGGCTACACAATCATGGGGAAGACTGCTGATCTGACAGTTGTCCAGAAGACAATCATTAACACCCTTCACAAGGAGGGTAAGCCACAAACATTCATTGCCAAAGAAGCTGGCTGTTCACAGAGTGCTGTATCCAAGCATGTTAACAGAAAGTTGAGTGGAAGGAAAAAGTGTGGAAGAAAAAGATGCACAACCAACCGAGAGAACCGCAGCCTTATCTCCATGCCACGCCGAATTGAGGCAGTAATTAAAGCAAAAGGAGCCCCTACCAAGTATTGAGTACATGTACAGTAAGTGAACATACTTTCCAGAAGGCCAACAATTCTCTAACCAGGTTTTTTTTATTGGTCTTATGAAGTATTCTAATTTGTTGAGATAGTGAATTGGTGGGTTTTTGTTAAATGTGAGCCAAAATCATCACGATTAAAAGAACCAAAGACTTAAACTACTTCAGTCTGTGTGCATTGAATTTATTTAATACACGAGTTTCACAATTTGAGTTGAATTACTGAAATAAATGAACTTTTCCACGACATTCTAATTTATTGAGATGCACCTGTATGTTTTCTGAAGAGTTGTGCTGTCCATTCAGGTGTCTGTATCTAGGAATACAGATCAAACCCTAGGTGTTTTAATGGCTACTGAGTTGTGTGTGTGTTTAGGTTTCATCAGAATCAGGAGACAGCGCCGAGTGTGTTGCGGAGGAAGCCTCTCTGATCCTGGATGAGATGGCTCACCGTCTGCAGCTCAGCACTATACGCTTCTTTGCCTTTACGCTCAGCAAAGCCTTCAAGAGACTCTTCCGCAGCGTTTGTGTCAATGAGGAGGGCATCCAGAGAGTGAGTGACTCTTCACTGTCCCCAAAATACACGTGTGAAATTCCTGCTAAAACACCTGGCGTCTACACCGTGAGCCGATTACTAGGCTCGTCTAATGTTACTAAAACATGTGTCCTAATTACAGATCCCTTGTGGCACTAGCATGTCATTATTTTAAAAGAGCTTTTTTATTATCATATATATTCTACTGCTGAAAATATTGAATAATTACGCCTTTTATTAAGACGTTTCCTTTGCTCACTAAGGCTGCGTTTATTTCATTACAAATACAGTACAACAGTAATACTGTGAAATATTATTAACATTTAAAAGAACTGTTTTCAGTTTGAATATATTTAAAATAATGTAACTTTTTCCTGTGATCAAAGCTGAGTGTTCAGCATCATTACTCCAGTCTTCAGTGTCACATGATCCTTCAGAAATCATTCTAATATGTTGATTTGCTGCTGAGTTCTTATGTTATTTTTTATGCTCCGTTATTAATAAAACAGTTGTGCTGCTTTGTGGAAACTGTGCTACATTTTTTTTCAACAATTTTTGTTGAATAGAAAGTTCAAAAGAACAGCATTTATTTGAAATAGAAACATGTTGTAACATCATTAATGTCTTTGTCAATTTTGACCAATTTAATGCATTATTGCTGAATAAAATGACTATTGTTTTTAAAATCTTGCTTACCCCACACTTTTATCACAAAAATATTAAGCAGCAAGCAAAACTGCTTTCAACATTGATAATAATAAAGAAATGTTTCTTGAGCAGCAAATCAGCATATTAGAATGATTTCCGAAGGATCATGTGACACTGAAGATTGGAATAGGAATAAATTACATTTTTATAGCAATACATAAGCTTTCCATTGATGTATGGTTTGTTAGGATATGATAATACTTGGCCGAGATGCAACTATTTGAAAATCTGGAATCTGAGGGTGCAAAAAAAAAAGAAATATTGAGAAAATCACCTTTAAATGAAGTCCTTAGCAATGCATATTATTAATCAAAAATTAAGTTTTGATATATTTACAGTAGGAAATTTACAAAATATCTTCATGGAACATGATCTTTACTTAATATCCTAATCATAATCCAATGATTTTTGGCATAAAAGATATCAAAATCGATAATTTTGACCCATACAATAGTTGCGTCCCAGATGACACACTATACACTATGCACTATGTACTTAAGCACTATGTACTCAACCATGTAGAATTACTTGAGGTTATTTTGTCGTTCATAATTGGAGTCTGATAGCCCCTCCCCCTTCTCAACGTAATTAAAGCTGCGACAGTTGAGTGCATGAAGTGTCCAACATTCCACACTTCGTTTTTTCGGTTATTTAAGTGCATCATCCGGGTATTTAAAGTGCACTTTTTCTTTTTGGAATTTTCAGTGTGAACGCACTACTCGCACTATTTATACTACAAAACATCAGAGAATAGTGCATAAGTGCGCGATTTGGGACACACCTAAGTATTTTTGGCTATTGCTACAAATATATCCGTGCTACTTAAGGTTTTGTGGTCCAGGGTCACATTTATTTTTATCAAATAAAAGCAGATTTTGAGAGCATAAAAATCTAAAAATATATTTATATTATTATAAGAATAAAATAATTATTTCAAACATTTGACCGTGTATTTCCTGTATTTCTGCTGTAATAATAAAAGTGCTGCTTGTTTTCAACAGAAATAGGGAATGTTGATACATTAAAGGGGTCCTATTATGCTCGTTTACAAAGTCTTGATTTTGTTTTGGGGGTGTACTAGAACAGGCTGTTCGAAAAACACATTATTTTTCACATATTTTACATTATTACAATACCTCTCTCCCCAGTCTGGCATGAACGGCTCGAATAGTTCCTGTATCAAATGAAGGCTTCTGAAATACGAAATGTGCTGTGATTGGTCAGCTGGGCCAGTGTGTGCTGTGATTGGCTAGCTGGGCCAGTGTGTGTAAATGAGACCAATCGGACCAATCACCGCAGATTAGAGTCACGCAAAGGAGGGGTTTGGAAAAATTAATCGTTGAGCGAATCGTTTGAGAGTCCTTGTTGAGCAAATAAAGTAAAAATAAATGCATATTATAAGACAATGAAAGTGTTTTTTGACATTACATGCATGTCAACCTGTTGTTGGGGACTCCCAAAACCAAAATATGAACCTTTCATTACCCATAATAAGGGCGCTTTAAATCAGTCAAACACAATTCATTTAAATGTCATGATTTCAGATGTTGCAAGAACTTTGTATCCTTTAGCCCAACAGTGCAATACAAACACTAGTTATTGAAGGGGAAGAAGATCTGATTTCAGTTTATATCTTAATATTATTAGTATTTAATTAAACAATTGATTATTCTAATATATAATTAATAATTTATTAATTGAAATACGTTTAAGTCATCCTGAGGCCCCCTGGTTGAGAACTGCTGTTATAAATGGTCCTGCCGTTTGGTTTAATAAAGATGGCATGTAAATAGAGTTTGATGTCATGCTGGTTTTCATTGATGGTGCTTTCTCTCTTCAGCTCCAGCAGGCTGTACAGGAACACCCGGTGGTTCTCCTGCCCAGTCACCGTAGTTACATGGACTTCCTGATGATGTCCTACTTACTCTACATGTGCGACCTTCCCCTGCCGGTGATTGCGGCTGGAATGGGTGAGTGTGGACGGGTCACACTGATGCATTGTGCCAGCCTAAAAACGGTTTTGAGTGTAGCTATTATACAAACACAAGTAGACACACTTTCCAAAAGTATAGTTCATTCTCCTTAATATGTTTGAGTGGACTTTGTAACTGATTTAATAGCCTTTCTTTGGTTCTCTCACAAGTTTTCTAGTTTTATCAGGGTGTTGAGGGTTGACAGTGCCAGCTAGAGCATCTAAACAATTGACAATCTTTCTGCGCTATATTCAAAATCTTGATACAAGCACTCTGCGGTATTTTATAAACTTCATATTCATAAAACATGATAGTGCCATATTTTTATTCTAGAATATATACTCTTGTAAAATCATTGTAATTTTGAAGTGCCCTGGTTGAATGGGTCAAAGACAGTGTCACATCAAATTCAGTTTACAAAAGGGATTTTATATACATAGAATGCATATTAAATTCAAGCAAATGTCTAATGCTTCAGATAGATTTTGTGAAAATGTCAAAACATGGGTGGAATAATGTTCCATCATCATTCAGTGTAACATTTATGTAAAAATCAAACAGCATATTTATTGTGACCTGCACTTATTAAAATATACAAAAGAAAAAGTGATCATAATAAATTGTTATATTTTAAATGATTAAAATCGTCTTGCTAACAAATGAAACCTAACGGTTTGAAGGATAGAGGCAAAAAGTGTCACGTTAAAATGATTTGGAGTTTAGTTTGAATAAAATCACTGTTTTCTTTTCAGTAACGTCTTTATTCTTTTGATTCAGATTTGATCAATATGTAAGCTTAAACCTGTTGATTTCATGTTATATTTATTACTTATACTGTACTATTTACTAATGGTAAGATGTTTCTGCAGATTTTATGAGTATGAAGTTTGTTGGTGAGATGCTGCGTATGTCAGGGGCTTTTTTCATCCGTCGGTCGTTTGGAGGTGATCAACTTTACTGGGCTGTGTTCTCTGAGTATGTGAAGACCATGCTGAGGGTAAGAGGCTTCATCCAAACAACTGAACACATGAGCAAATCAGTCAACTAGACTGTCCTGTATATGTAAGATAAAATACAGGCTTCATATTGCAGTGGATTTACAGCTTTTCACACTGCTCTTAAAGGGTTAGTTCACCAAAAAATTTAAATTCTGTCTTTAGTTACTCTCCCTCACCTCGTAACAAACCTTCGTTCATCTTCGGAACACTAATTAAGATATTTTTGATGAAATCTAAATGCATTCTGGATTGCATGAAGAATAGGACAAAATAAATATTTTTATTTTTGCTTAGTAGTATGGTTGAATTGGATCATCACAGGTCAGCAGCAGACATTGGTTAATAAAATCTTATTAAATACAGAAAAAAAGGATATTTGTGTTATTTGCCATATTTAATATTTGCAGGTTTGTGTCATATTTGGAGCTTGCATTTCACTGTCAGCCAGTAAATGGAAAAACAAAGTAACTGGTATTACTGATTTAAAAAAGTAACTCAAATATTTTCTTGTAAATAGAAAAGTAATGTGCTACTTCACTAGTTACTTGAATGTAGGGATATGCCGGTATCAAATTCTCATTCTTGAAATTTAGTTTAAAAAAAAAGTGTTGTCATAATACAGTATTACAGGTTTAATAACTTTTTTCTTATAACAAAAATAATTGAACATTTAAATGCAATAAAGCACCGGCACAAGTCTACTTGAATGTAACATCCATTATACCCAACACTGATCAAGACAGAGTTCAAAGTTCAAACAGGTCGATCCAGTGGGATTTTACGGGTAATAAAGTTACTGCGAGTCATTTTTAGATGAATGTTTACTGTATATCCTTCCATTCTTAAATGGTTGAAAATATGCGTTGTTGAAAAATGATTAACCTGGTGTATGTTGCTTATTCAGAATGGATATGCCCCAGTTGAGTTCTTCTTGGAAGGAACTAGAAGCAGGACGTGCAAATCTCTCACACCAAAGACGGGTAAGTGTACATCGACTATACGTTTGCAACACTTTTTATACAATATGTCTGTGCTGCTGTGACTTTTTGGTGTTTAATTTTGATAAAAGCTCTTTGCTGACTTCTGCACGTATTGTGCAGCGTCAAGGCTTTTCCCCACTTTTCGGCCTTTTTTATCGCTGCACAAATAAATTCAAGGTGACGGGAAACATTTTTTTGGTCAGTATTGCTTGCACCCAGGAAGTGAGATGCCAGCTGAATGAAATTTCACAGGATTTTCACAATTGAATCTCAGTCCCAGTATGATATAGAGCCCCTGACTAATTTATGGCACAGAGGTTCAGACCGACAGCTTGAAACCTGGAAAGCCTGAAGGTGGCAGCTCATCAATCAAACCCAACAAAAGCAAATTTAGATGAATGAGAGAAACAAAACGTCCGCCTCTTTGAACGCTGTTGGTTTTGTGTCAGCTTCATCTCCCGCTCTCTTTCTCTCTCTCTCTCCCTCAGGGTTGTTGAATATTGTGATGGAGCCGTTTTTTAAAGGAGAGCTGTTTGATGTGAACCTGGTTCCTGTCAGCATCAGCTACGAGAGAATTCTGGAAGAGTCTCTGTACGCCCGAGAGCTGCTCGGCATCCCGAAGCCCAAAGAATCAACCTCAGTATGCATTGCCTTCTAATATGCATTCCATTACTATTTTTAGCAGATATATAACAACTAAACTTTTATCTTAATCAGTGTCCTGTTTTCCTTTTCAAAAAATTTGTGCTCACCAAGGCTGCATTTATTGTTGTCAAATTCAGTAAAAACAGTAATGTGGTGAAATAATATTATTAAAGTTTTAAGTAATGTTTTCTATGTTAGTATATTTTAAAATGTGCTTAATTCCTGTGATGCAAAGCTGAGTTTTCAGCATTATTACTCTAGTCTTCAAGTGTCACGTGATCCTTCGGAAATCAATAATTCTAATATGCTGATTTTGTTCTGAACATTTCATATTATTATCAGTGTTGTCATTATTATCAGTTGTTCTGCTGAATATTTTTGTGGAAAAGCATGTTTCCTTTTTCAGGATTCTTCAGTGAAAAGAAAGGCTCTTTACTGTCACTTTTAACCAATTTAATGCATCCTTGTTGAATTTCTTAAACAAAACAAAGCAAAAATGTACTGACCCCAAATATTTGAACTGTGTAAATATGAATAAATAATTACAGTATTTTTCATGTTACGAGTCCATGTAATGGACAGTGGATAATTATAAATAAATATTTGTTTAATACTCAAAATAATCTCTAAAATATCTGTATATCATGAAGCAAAATTGTACAAGATAATTTTGCAGCTGTCTCCTGAATTAAGTTTATTTTCATTTCAGGCATGAAACCTCACTTAAAGGGGTAGTTCACCCAAAAATTCTGTCATTAATTACTCACCCTCATGTCGTTCCAAACCCGTAAGATCTTAGTTCATCAAAGGAAAACAAATTAAGATATTTTTGATGAAATCAGAGAGCTCTCTGACCCTCCCATAGACAGCAACACAATTGAAATGTTCCCAGGACCAGAAACGTAGCTAGAAGGATGAACTAAGATCTTACGGGTTTGGAACGACATGAGGGTGAGTAATTAATGACAGAATTTTAATTTTGGGGTGAACTATCCCTTTATTGTTTGTAAAATTATGCATAGATATTCTGTTTTTTACTGGAACATTTTGAATGGAACATCCAGGACAGACAGACAGACCAAAGGGTTTTTTATTGACATCCATTTCTCAACTCTATTTCTATCTCTCAGGGTCTGCTGAAGGCCCGGCGGGTCTTGAGTGAGGACTATGGCAGTATGCATGTGTATTTTGGTCATCCTGTATCTCTGCGCAGTCTGGCAGAGGGAAAAATAAACCGCTCCCAGTACAACCTGCTGCCCAGGTATGGCAGCTGCAATCAGACACTCTCCAAATGTTTTGCTCTAAAAGCCACAAAGCATGCATTTTTGTCATAAGCTTTTAAACTTTTACAAACTTTACTATAAGCTGTACAAACTGTCCTGACTTGAGTGTTGTTTTTAACAGGTACATTCCTCAGAAACCCAGGGTAGACACTCATGAGTTTCTGAACGACGCTGCTTTCCGTCTGGTGCGCATCCAGGAGGAGAACATGGTTCTGAAGCCCTGGGTTCTCATTGCCACACTGCTGCTACAGAACCCTGACGGCCTGGAGCTCTCCTTCCTCACAGAACAAACAGACTGGCTCAGACACCTGGCACTGGCGTTTGGAGCGTTCTTGGACTGGCCCGGTAAGAGATCACATGATCTCAACCTCAGACTGATCACACAAATCACCAGTGCAATCTATTAAAATGTCTGTAAGTCAGGATGCACAGCTTTAAATCAGTCTTCCAGCAAACAAAGCCTGGTTTGCGGAAAAATCGAAACCGGGATTCACCGGGATTTTCCCATGTCGTTTATTTGTTTTTTTTTAATCCTATTAATACTTTCCCCTTAAAAGTGCGCTCGCGTCTTTTGCAGCGTCTCGTAAACTTTTACACGCAGTTTACATAAATGTTTGTTTACATACTATGTGTTTGTACTGTGTATATTTATTATGTATATACAGTGGGGAAAAAAAGTATTTAGTCAGCCACCAATTGTGCAAGTTCTCCCACTTAAAAAGATGAGAGAGGCCTGTAATTTTCATCATAGGTATACCTCAACTATGAGAGACAAAATGAGAAAAAAAATCCAGAAAATCACATTGTAGGATTTTTAAAGAATTTATTTGCAAATTATGGTCGAAAATAAGTATTTGGTCAATAACAAAATTTCATCTCATAGTATGTAAACAAACTTTTATTTTGAATGTGATTAATCGTTATTAATTGTTTTGCAGCCCTAGTTTATGCTATTAACTGTCATGCATTATATATTTCAAAAGTTTGGGGTCAGTAAGATTTTGTTTTTAATTTTTTTAAATGAAAAAATACATTAAAAACAGTAATATTATGAAATATTATTGCATTTGTGTTGCTTAATATTGTGAAAACCGTGATACATTTTTTCAGGAATCTTTGATGATTAAAGTAAAAGAAACAAACAAAAAAAACTGCATTTACTGAAATATAAATGTTTTTATGCTGTTATTCCATCCTGAATAAAAGTCATAAAACAAATAAAATAAAAATCGTACTGACCCCAAACTTTTAAACGTTAGAATTTATACCATTTATCAATCTTGATTCGTGCTCATTTCTTCATACACGAATATATATTTAACATTAGAAGTTGTATAAATGAATATTAGTTATTGTATCATAAATAAACCAGAATTAACAGTTGACAACAGTATAAAATCAAGTTTTCATCAAAAGTTCTGTATAAAAAAATCATATCAAATGTAAGAACATACAGGTAAAGTGTTTGTGTCCGTGAGTGAAGATCTCTAAATTTGAAAGCTTAGCAGCGAGAGATGTATGAAATTGTATCCTATTATCATATATCATGTTCTTCAAATTTTCTCAGTATGGCAAAAATGATCATGCATATCATGCATATGCAGAATCTGCTTGGATAAAGGAAAGATGCTCGATGAATAATTCATTACACAGAAATCCAGTAGCTCAATCTAAGCTTACTTGACCTTAATTTGAACGATCCCCAATAATATGATCTCTCTCTCTCTCTCTGTGTGTGTAGATCATGAGGCCTGCAGTGAAGTCGTCAGCTGTAGTTTAGCTCTACACAGACACCTGTTGAGTGTGTCTGCAGGCCACGTTCAGCTGAACGTCACAGATACACCGCAGGTCGAGACCACACCAGAGGAAGCCGTGTTTCACCGAGCGGTCGTTGTGCTCTCTTGCGCCTCCTACAGGAACCAGATCTTACACGTGTTTCTGAGACCTGCTCTCTTAGCGGTGGCCATGCAAAGCGCAAACTCCAATAGAAAAGGTGTGCGAGAAATATGTTTTATGAATGTTATTTTACTCTGGATTAGTATATTTTACCAATCACAAAGTAATTTGTGTTCTAGATGACGTCTACAACTGTTTCAACTTCCTGAGGAACATGTTCTCCAGTGAATTTATTCTTTGCCCTGGGGACTCCGTTCAGGTTACACCACATTCACAAACTGTTTTCGCCACCAAAATTTGTTGCTGCAAATTTGAGATTCATAGTCTGTTTCACTTGTTCAGTTGAAACTTACTCAAATCACGAGTCCCTAAAAGATTTTTACCTCTAGTCTGTACTCAAATGTCTTTTCATGACGCGTGTATGTGTGTGTATGTGTTTTTTTTTGTAGGACTTTGAGGATGCGTGTTATTTGCTCATGAAGCGTGGCGTGTTGCAGGTATTGGAGCATGAGATTGTGATGTCAGCGAGCGGTCACAGCACCCTCGCTTTCCTGTGTTCGGTTCTGGACCCCTTCCTGCAGGGATACCAGGTGACACCTTACAAACAATGTGCAAATGTACACTAAAGTGCAAAATTTTGGGGGTCAGTATGATTTTTCTTTCTTTCTTTCTTTCTTTAAATTATTAGTTTTATTCAGCTAGGATGCTCAATAGGGTTGGGTACCGAACTCGGTACTTTTAAGGGTACCAACTGAATTGCGTCGGTACTACCGAGTACCGATTCACGTTAAATCAATCGGTGCCAAATTTCGGTATCTGAGAACGCATCTGGGCACATACGCTACAGAGAGAAAGAGAGAGCCTGTGACGTGATGTCACCCCTGCAACTCAAACAACACACAGGGCAAGCCGAAATGTTCTGAAGTGTTGTTACATTTCTAGGGCCTTATGGTTTCTGCGAAAACGCGGACGGGATCCATTCATAAAAACATAATTTACTCTATAGTGCTGAATGCCACGGAATTCACAAATTTTGGATGAATGATTCAAAAGTAGCCACTGCCACTTAATTCGAATCGCGATTTGAACTAGTATCTGTGAATATTAAAATGCAAAAAAACGGTTTAAATATGAATCCTGCATGTTCCACTTGCCTCTGTATGTATGAATGGCCGAAACGCGGTTTTGTTTACTACACAAATACTGAAGCACGCGTGATGCTCGCGGTGATTTTCGGCTTCTGCGTCTCACTATATGACGGCATGAACACAAAAACTGAATCTCCAGAGCTGCTGTGAGTCACTTCACGAGAATTTTACCATTTCATTTGAGAAAACTAGCATCATCATACTGTATACACACAGAAACTTCATGGCAACCTGTCAAAATAAAAGTACGGTTTAACATATAACAGAAATATATTACTCTTCTATTACTTTAGTACAGTATAATGTACATCTTTAAATATTCAATTTTCTATCAAATTTAAATAAAACAATTAAATGATAAAAATAAATATTACAACCAGATGAATCACTTAATTGTAGAAAGAAATAATGCAATTATTAGCCTATTAAAACATGTTTTAAAGGAATATTCACACAATTTTTCTTCCATGTATTAATTTCAACAGTAAACCTCAGTTTGTTTGCCAAAAAATAAAAGGGTTTCATTTTCATTTGATTTAAAATAAATGTTTAATGCCTTCATTTGATTTTCAGAAAAATTAAAACAAGAATTTCTGGAGGGAAAAAAAGAAAGAAAGAAAGAAAAGGTTTGTAGGGCCCTATTGTTCAAAATGTTGAAAATTTAGAAAAATATGCATTTTCAGTCCCCAAAACGCCGTTGTCGTGTAAATGTACAGGCAAAACGCATAAAAGTTTCCCGTTTTTGGCTGAAAACTCTGTCATGTAAACGGCCCCTTAGACTAATTTCTGAAGGATCATGTGTCTCAACACCGAAGACTGGAGTGATGATGCTGAAAATTCAGCTTTTCATCATAGGAATAAATTACATTTTAAAAATATTAAAATATAATTTTTCCCGGCAATATGACTATTTTTACTGTATTTTTGATCAAATAAATGCAGTCTCAGTGAGCATCTCTGTGAGCGGACTCTGTGAGGTTTCACATTAAAAAAAACTTTTTTTTTTATAATATCACCAGGAATAGTTAAAGGTGTAGTAAACTCTGAACAACAGAAACACTGTTGTTCAAACAAACGCACTCCCATTGCTCCACCCCCTAATTCACGCTATGCAACATGGGCAACGACTAATAGCTCCAGACAAACAATGACTCTCAAAACCGTCCTGATACTATAGCTACAATTACAACAACACCATATCTTGGTTCTGTAAAACATTGCAAAACCAATGTTACAAGCAGAAACAAAGCAGCCTTGGCATCGGTTCCCAATCTTAACATCTCTCCAGCTCTGGAAAGCTTTTCCAATATTAACATGGGTCTGATCATAACCCTTATTTTTCCAGTTACATTCCAATTACATTTTCCTCTTTGGTAATTTCTCCACCATCTCTCTTTGTAGAGTCTTTCTACAAATCTCCCGCTTGATCACTTTCTCTCCTCCCCCTAAATGCCCCCTATTGCTAATTTGCTAAAAGGGTGTTGTAGTGCTTGGTCGGATCCATCCAATCCACTTTGTGTTTCCCCCTAATTTGACAGCCAGGACTATGTACAAACACTATTTTTTTTCAGCACACATGTAGAACAGACAGCTAGCAAATATTCACATAATTGCTAGTTTGGGTGTTGATAAGGTTGTAGGACTCAAGGCAATTTATTTTGAAGTTCTTGGTCTTGTCAACATATTGACAACATTTGTACTCGGTCTAGTCTCGGTCTCAGACTTAAAGCACTCTGGATTTAATTTCAAGGCCGGTCAAGACCACGACTGCGGGAATATCACTAAATCGCCGGTGCCTTGTCTGATTTATTTGTTAACATCTTTCTGTGATTGGATGTAAAACTTCCTGCTTCAAATGCGATCAATAACTTGTTTGTAATTTGATTTCAGGAATGAACATGTGTCAAAAATGTCACCAAAATGAAAACAAATGCTCACAAAATGCAAGATATTATTGCATAAAAAGTGCTTGTATAAGATCTTGTGTTTTATATTGTAACATTTGATATAATTAAGCAATATCACCAAACGATCAATAAACAAGAAATTCATATTAAGTGACTTACCTTTTAGATAAAAGTTAAACAGTTTAAACACAACAGTTTTTGTGTTTACCAATTCGTTCACCAATGAAAATAGTTCCAAACAGCTCTCAACTTGGTCTCGGTTTAAGTAGTCTGACTATAACATTAGTTGTTGATTTCAATTTTAATAGTGTTTCTCAAAAATCACTTACTGCACATTTAACTGTATAATCCTGTTTAATTCTTAATTGGTTTTCACATTCTTAGGTTTAATAACTACGGTCATATTAAGTTAGTGTGGTCTTTGTGCAGGTGGTGTGTCGCTGTCTGTGTGAGGAGACTAATGAGAACCTGACCGAGAAGGAGTTTATTCCTGCTGTGAGGAGTTTTGCACTGAAACTCATATTAGCAGGTAATACAGGATGACAGTGTTTTGTGTGTGGAAGTTTAAACTGTTTGCACCTGGTATTGATATCTGTCTCAACTGATCTGATTATGCATGTCCCTGGGTCCTGCACTGTGTCTGCTTGCGATTTAGATCTGCTAGAGGTGTTGCAATTGGTTTGAAATTCCAATCTTCTGTTATATGTGTGTTTGTCGTCATGGCATCAGGTCGTCTGAAGTGTTGTGAAGCTTTATCCTCAGACCTGCAGAAGAACGCTCTAGCAGCCCTTCTGAGGCTCAAAGCCGTGAGGAAGGTCAAAGTGTAAGTCCATCTACATACAGTCTCAGTTTCATTAGACGTGTTATGGGCTTTTGAAGTGTTATGGTTGTTTAACTGATGTGAATTCTCTCTCACAGAGGCGATCAGGTGACGTTGAAGGTAAACAAGATTGCAGTGAACTCATTGGAGGATACGCTGGGTAAGAGTAACCTCAATCAAAATAGCTGGTGTTCAAGTATGGCAATGTTGAAATAGCAATCTTTTAACATACTAGTCTAATCATTTCTGCAGTATATAATATGTGCATTCTAAGTTGATCTGACTATCTTTTTTGGGGTTGTTTTATTGGTCTAAAGTATAATTTTTTTTTACACAGTTTGAAATGCTAAATAACTGTTTTTAATTTTTAATTGTTACTATGCTTAAAAATGTGTCCATGTGATGAGGTCATTTGACTACAAATGTAGCATACTAATGTTTATAATAATATATATACAGTGGGTACGGAAAGTATTCAGACCCCCTTAAATTTTTCACTCTTTGTTATATTGCAGCCATTTGCTAAAATCATTTAAGTAATTTTTTTTTCCTCATTAATGTACACACAGCACCCCATATTGACAGAAAAACACAATTGTTGACATTTTTGCAGATTTATTAAAAAAGAAAAACTGAAATATCACATGGTCCTAAGTATTCAGACCCTTTGCTGTGACACTCATATATTTAACGCAGGTGCTGTCCATTTCTTCTGATCATCCTGGAGATGGTTCTACACCTTCATTTGAGTCAAGCTGTGTTTGATTATACTGATTGGACTTGATTAGCAAAGCCACACACCTGTCTATATAAGACCTTACAGCTCACAGTGCATATCAGAGCAAATGAGAATCATGAGGTCAAAAGGAACTGCCTGAAGAGCTCAGAGACAGAATTGTGGCAAGGCACAGATCTGGCCAAGGTTACAAAAAAAATTCTGCTGCACTTAAGGTTCCTAAGAGCACAGCGGCCTCCATAATCCTTAAATGGAAGACATTTGGGACGACCAGAACCCTTCCTAGAGCTGGCCATCCGGCCAAACTGAGCTATCGGGGGAGAAGAGCCTTGGTGAGAGAGGTAAAGAAGAACCCAAAGATCACTGTGGCTGAGCTCCAGAGATGCAGTCGGGAGATGGGAGAAAGTTGTAGAAAGTCAACCATCACTGCAGCCCTCCACCAGTCGGGGCTTTATGGCAGAGTGGCCCGACGGAAGCCTCTCCTCAGTGCAAGACACATGAAAAAACACCTGAAGAGAGTGAGCGGGAGGACATGGGCCCCGACGCTGCGTTCGCTCCGTACCTCTCCTGCAGGCATATATTTGTTTATTTATATGTTTATAATGGAATGCCTTCTGTGTCACCAATGTTGTTATTGTTAAGTAAAACTATTAAAAATATGTTTTGGTAATTCAAATAAAGCTGAAATGAAATGACATATAAATATGGGATGAAAAGCTTTAAACTGAAAAATTTAAGTTGAAGTATTGCAATTACTAAAACTAAATTAAAGCTACTGTAAACAGAAGTAGAAAAAAAACTAATAAAAAATACATAAACAAATAAAAACAATTAAATGCTATACTATAATAGTATATAAATAATACAAAGATCATGTCACATACTATTTTTGTTAATAATAGTTGGCAATATTCTGTGTAAAATGTTCAAAGTCCCAGTAAATCAACCCTAATTTTTTTTATCAACCCTTGTTGTATTGTGTAATATAATGTTAGATTTAATTACTGAATTGTTTAGCAAAAGCACAATTTTGCTGGAGCAAAAGAGCATTATAGAGCATTAAGCCTCGTATCGCCAATGTTTTTCGACCCAAAAAAACATTGTGTTCATACCCAAGCGATTTTCGTTGGCGACGAGCCGAGTGAACGTGCAAATTCACTCCCTGACATTAGATGCCGCTTAATGAAAAACAGAAATACCCATCGAATCCTATTTGATCTGCAATTCCTCTCCATAACAACTCCCTTTTATCGAGATTTTTATAGTCGCTGTCGCGTTTGTCATAAAGCCCTTTGTGTTCAGACACCAACGAGACCAGCAGCTCTACATTCATCTTGCCTCGATGCATCTTCTTGGTCTACTTACTTCCTCTTCGTCGTTAGGTATCAATTGGCATTTTCCACTGCATGGTACTGCACGGTACGGCTCGGTACGGTTCACTTTTGGGGGGTTTTCCACTGGGTACAGTACCTGGTACCTGGTACTTTTTTTAGTACCACCTCGGTTGGGGTTCCAAGTGAACCTTACCGTTACCAAAACATGACGTGTAAACTCTGCTGATCACGGATTGGCCGGAGAGAATCGTCACTACCTGCGTCACTGAACTTGTGACACAAACACAAAAGAACCGCTAGTTCTGTCAGGACCACTATCATCAAAGATGATTGACAATTAGCATACAGTTTGGATTGGCGGTATGGTTCCGTTCTGGGCAAGGACTCCCTGCGCATCCATGCAGCCTAGCATGGATGAGAGCAGGGAGAGCAGCGATAACCCCCCAAGGGTAAACAGAATAGAACCAACATAAATGTATTGCAGATATCGTTAAAGTTAAATAATGTCATGTACACATTTTAGAATTAGTCTGATTCAAAGGAGAATCAGAAGGCTGAATCCTGACTGACAGAGGAGGAGTTGGGGATGGAGGAGGGTAATTAGCTATCGAGCAATGTGAAAACTGCTGATACTACTGCAGGACCTTATATATGAATGCTTAGATAGGTGTCGTATTCCCATAGGTTGATGGGGATCAGCTGAGAGTCAGCTGATGCGAGCTTGACTAACGTGACCTGCCAGAACTGACGCTACGCTAGATATTTAAATCAGCACAGCCAGCGAAGGATCGAACGCAACTGTTTTGAACGAGCGCACCTTTTTTTTTAACAACCAAAAAGTTTAGTTGTCGGTTGCGGAAGAACAGACGTTCCTCTCGTTTATAGCAGAGGAGCGGATCCAGCAAGAGCTTGATGGGGCGACGCGGAATGAAAAAGTTTTTTTAGGAGTCGTGGTAGTAGAGGCGGCGCAACTATAACGACATGTGAATAATCCCGCCCACTCTAAAGTGGTACTGAACTGCAGTGGAAACGCAAACCGTGCCGAGCCGAGTCGTACCACGCAGTGGAAAAGCACCAAATGAGTGCTCGGCAAGACCGTTTTGTGCTTGAGCACCACCAAGTCGTGTTTTACTGTAACTTCAGCAGCTCCAGGCACGTGAACAAAAGCGCCAATCTCATTGGTCGGCCAGTTTTTAACGTGGCGCGTAAAAACAAAAAAACGAGCCCGAGGCGTTTTTTAAAAAAATGCCGCTTTTACACCTTGCGTTTTGCGTGTCGGTGTGCACACTCAAATTGGCGCCCTTTGTTTAGTCACGAGGCATTAAATGTCGGCGATAATCACGCGCGATATTCGTCCTGGTGTGAACAAGCCTTGAGATTGGTATGAATAAAACTTAGATTTTTGAAACTAAAATTACATGCAAAAGACTCCAAATTCATACTTATGAATGTGAATAGTTTTACAATTTACACAAAAAAGTTAATGTACTCGTGTTTTAATAACTGCAGTATCCTATTACCGCTGATATGTGTTCAGAAATAAAAGATGATTTAAAATAGTCATCACCATAAGAAACGTCATACAATTTATTTTAAAAATAAATAGATGTCAAGTAAACTTTGAAGAACTTGTTTTATAAGATGGTCCCAAAAAACATTATTTTACAACGAGTACTATTAAATAATCTTTTATAGATTTATGTATATACAAAATAGCTTTTTTTTTAGGTGAGTTTGAAAGTTGAATAATATTAAATGTTTGCATTTGTATCGAGTGAATGCAACAACCACAAGATCTAAATATATAGGCTAATAAATAAAACGTAAACCAGTCAATGCACACACATATTTAGAAATTAAATATTTCAAAATATTTTAAAAATAAACGATGAACTATAGTAATTCCGCAGATTTTTTTTGGCCCAGATTTTATTGCTGGCTTTTAAAACGCAATCATTTGCTCTTTAAGTAAAGTTTTCAAAGTTTCCTCTCGGAGAATTGGTTTGTTTCACTGTGACCCAGTTCTTGTCTCACTGTGCCGTACTGCCATGACCTCCTGCATCTTCGTTCTATTTTACGGCTACGCTTGTTTACTTTACTTTTCCTCTGTCACACAGGAGGTAAAATTCCTACCCAGAAGCCCATCCTTGCTCGACTGTAGTCGCATACGTACACGTGGGGTCTCTGGAGGGCCAAACTAAACTGCCTTCATTAGCATAATGCCAAATTTTGCAAGGTGGCAAGGCTTCGCTGACTACAAAGGTTACCTGTCATCGAGCTTTAAAGGGACGTCACGGGTTTGCCATCTGGGACGCCCACGCTGTGCTAGAAGCACTCTTTTTATCTCTCTCCCTCTCCAACAAACTTGACAGCAGGTTGCCATGTCTCTGATCGGCCTTCGATCTTCAGCGTGTCTTTATCAGACGAGTTTTAAACTGCTCTGATGTTGCCAAGTATATGAAGGCAGTGACACTTTTGATTTTTTTTTTTCACGTTTGAACATCCGTTTGCGTGCGTTTTATCTATGTCTGCACTAAAGAGCCTTCACTTTGATTTGAGACACTGTTACGGTTTCACTGGATTTGTGTTGGGTCCGTTATCTTTTCTTCGTGACTTGTCTAAATTGAACGGTTTTCTTTTGCTCTCTAGATATGGCCGTCTGTTGCGTTTGCTACAGATCAAGGTTTTTAGGGATCATGTTACAAAAATAGGTCACTCAAAAGTGGTTTAACTCCTTCAGAGCTAAAGAAAAGATTGTCTTTTTGTATCTGCTCTCATAAAGGAAACTTGTAGTTAAAAGAACAGTTCACTCAAAAATAACAATTTGCTGAAAATGTACTCAAGTCATCAAAGAAGTAGATGAGTTTGTTTGTTCATCGGAACAGATTTGGAGAAATATAGCATTACAGTGCATCACTTGCTCACCCATGGATCCTCTGGAGTGAATAGGTGCCATCAGAATGAGAGTCCAAACAGCTAATAAAAACATCACAAGTAATCCACATTTAACATCTTATACACTGAAAATCTGAATGTTTCTAATAAATAATGTTTTTAACTTAAAACCTTTGCTTCCAGCTAAAATGCGGCCAAAAATGACGATTTAAAGTTAAAACGCCTTAATGATGGATTTGTTTGGACATGCAGATTTTCACTTCTCAAGACGTTAATTGATGGACTGGTGTGGATTATGACGACGTTTTTATCAGCTGTTTGGACTCTCGTTCTGACGGCACCCATTCACTGCAGCGGATCCATTGGTGAGCAAGTGATGGAATGATACATTTCTCCAAATCTGTTGGAAAAACAAACTCATCTACATCATGGATAGCCTGATGGTGAGTAAAATTTCAGCTAATTTAAATTTTTGGGTCAACTTCTCCTTGAGCCAGATATGGAGACTCTTTATTGCCATATACAGTGTTTACATGCCTGTTGTAAACTACAGCTTTTCTGCTACAAAATAATGCATAATGAATCGACAGGTTTTATTTGATGTATTACTGCATTGTTTGGATATTTCACCCTATCTTTCAATAATTAATATGATAAAATATTTTTTATTATTAAAAATGGAGGCATGTGGCACGAAACTGCTGAATCTCCGTTCGCTCTGTTTAATGCCCCTCTAATGTTATTTCAAAGCATTATATCCATTTTTCATATTTAGTCAATTAAGTCACACTGACCCAGATTTCAATACTAGACAAAATTAAACTTTTAAAATTGTGGTGATGCCGTGTCGGATTCAGCTTCTAAAACTTAACTACAAAGTTTAGATACATTTATGTGCTGCACTTTTTCTAGGGGGAAACAAATTTAAAATGTGCCCATTGTGTGAATTTGAATGGGAATTCAGGTATATTTTATCCCAAATTTTGGACTGATCATCAGACATTGTTTGTCTGTAATCACTGAATGGATGATGCAACCACAAAACACAAGCCGTAAGTAAAGCCATAGCGTTCATCCATTCTGGGTTTGGGTCGATTCTTGCATTCATTCATCTCTTCAACAGGATATCAATCAATATGCCAGCAATCTCTTCCACTGAGAACAGGACATGTTGTTCTTGACATTTCCAGTGCTCATTCTGTAGCTACAGTTCTGCATATTGAATCGGTTTAAATATCCTGTTTTTCTTTTCTTATAGTTTTATTTGATTGATTAGGCTCATTTAGCAGAACACATTCAACAAATTAACATTAAGTCCTGCTGTTTATTCTGCCACGTGGAACTGGGAATATTGGCGGTAAAATGTCATAGCAAATGCAAACAACGTACCTTATTCGGAGTACACACTGCATTATAATTTGATGCAAACACAACCAGAGCCCTTCTCCATGGGGAGCCATCAAAATCCGCTCAAAAGTGTATTACTTTGAATGGAAGTCAGTGGCGGAGATGCTTCAGTATGCTGAATAAACTGGTTTTGTGTGGAAACAGCTTGACTCGTAATAAATTTCGCGCCTTGCAGCTAATCTTCAACATGTTTTGCATGCCATATTGGGAGTGAGCTATACTTGGAATTTGCTACAAAAAATAGTAGTTTCATAATTGAAATCGCAGTTTTGCAGGAGAGATTTGTTTGCAGCCATGCATTCATTTCTATGGTCAGGCTTTTGTACAATGCTGAAATGACGTCATAGCTTGTATATGATTGACTCTCAAGGCTCATTCATTTTGACCAAGTTCAACTTTTTTTTTCAGTGACACACATTCAAGAGTTTGCCATTTCCACCTCTTCCAGAAAATGTCTGATGAAACAGAGACTGTGAGGTCTGTTCAGTGTCATACTGCCTTAAGGTCACATCTAATTGTCACAGCCCAGACTTTTTTGTCCACTGGGGATTTTTTCAGTCACTGCACATATTTTCAGTGTTTCATCATCTGATGATATCAAACACATTGGCTCCGTCTAAAAGTAACACATGTCGCATATTTAAAAAAAGCGGTGCAGGCAGCGGGGGTGCTCACACATGCTGGGTGCGATGTTGGGAAATGGCACTGGCTAAGCTCATGAATATTAAAAAGGTTATGAACAAATAAGTGAAAATAATGTATTGCTTTGTAAATATGTGATATATTTAAATTATGTCTGTATAAAGTATTTTACCACAATCCTGTGCATAATGGCGTTTCTTGAAGGAGTAAAAATGCTGTCTAAAAGAAGCAAACAATTCCTACAGAGAAAAATGCATTGTAGGCATGCATGTAAAGAAATATACTGTTACATACAAAACATACTTGGCTGCATGATTGCTTATATTGTTGCCAAATGTGAACATTATCACATGGCTCTCTCTATCTCTATAGATGTATGTATACCAGGGTCAGAATGGGGGCACCAAAATGAACAGAAATGCCCCACAAATTCCAAATAATGGGGGAATAATTACACTGTAAAAAATTTTTTACGGTAAACAGAATTTACAGTCACATGATGAACCAAAGCCCATCTCAAGCAGCTTTTAAATAATAACATATATAGAAGGTGCACAGTGTCATTCACACAAACACTAAACACCATCATGGTAACACACATGAAACTGAAATAATGCAATAAACATTCATTTAACAACATTAGGTGTGACACACAACCCTAATATACAAAACTGATAAGAAAAAACTAAGAAGAAACATAGTTATTTCAACAAAAAACATCAAATTTGAAATGTAAAGCAGGGAATTCTGGGAATGTCAATTTACGGTTGTTCACTGTAAATTATACGGTCGTCTTCACTTACAAAAACTGTATACTACCATAAAATTAATGTCCAATACATGTAATGTCCAATACAGTTTTTCACCATATATAGTAGGGAAATTTACCGTTAACCATTTAACAGGTTTTTACAGTCTTAGCTATTATCATGATTAAAATTACATTTAGATCTGTGCATGCTGCAAATTTTTTTTGGAGCTTTGACAATTATAATCAAACGCATGTTTCTGTTGAGCTTATGAATGCAATGGCCAATCAGAAGCATTTATATGGGAAGCCAAACAACCCAAAAGTGGGACAAAATAGCAGGGTATTAAAGAATTCGCGACTCGACAGTGCAGGGAAGGCGTAGTCTCAGCCTCAGATGTCACGCCCACAGAACGTTGACTGACCGTCTGATGCATATTGCACACAAAATTGAAAACAATTCATGAGTTTCGAAGTCCTCATCGGATTGGTTAAATTATACAGGATCCTTTAATGTTCTGCCTGGAAACAAAGATGTTCTGATGCCAAACCCCCTCATGGAAGAAGAAAGCCGTTGTGTATATAACTGTGACAATGAGCGCTTCAGGATCAACTGAACACTGGATTTTCAAAAGTATATGAAATATTTAAAGTTTGCAGCATCTTTAAAATTCATCCAAGTGTTTTACACGACGGTATGTTATTGTGGGAACATTTCCATGCCCCTAAACATGACGCAGCACAAAACAAAATGTGATTGGTTGCTTTACCTGTCAGTCATATGGCCTTTTGGGCAGGCCTTGTCCATTCAAAGTGGCCAAAGATCCTAGACCTTCTGCCGTCAGTCTGAAGGTCTGGCTATGCGAGACCTATGCTTTTCTGCGCGTAAAATAATGGAGATCATTATTAATTTCTTACATTTAATCTGCTTATTATCTTTCATATTGCTTATTATCTTTCATATATGTATATGCATAACAGTAGTGTAAGCTACTTTGAAGCAGAAACTTTAATGCGGTTGTCTGCTTAGAATTAAAAATGCTTTATGGTTTCATTCATCAAGGCATATTTTAGGTAAATTTTACATTTAAGGATATTTGTGTGTGTAGCATATGATTATTCTGAAAGAAAGAGTAAAATACTGTATTCTGACAATTTTCTGCCAGGACATCCATTAATTTTCCCTTTCAGAAATCTAGAAATTAACCATTGTTTTACTGTAGTAAAGGGTTAACCATGGTTTTTGATGGATTGATTGACATTTGAAAAGCCTTAAAAACCTAGCCATTGTATATAACTGCAGTGTCAAAGTTAAATAACATTATCTTGGCCTGTTCCCTGGTCTTTAATTACTAGAGACAAAAAATCCCATATGTAGCCTAATTAATAATTGAATTCAAATGTAAAATTGGTATCCTACATAACTGCAGTATTGTGCTGAATGAAGAACTTGACGGTGGTGCTAGAAAGCATGTCCTCCCTGCGCTGTCGAGTTTGTTGCAATTAGTATCACACTGTTTCGTTCCACTTTTGGGTTGTTTGGCTTCCCATACGTTTAGATTAGTCAGCACTGAAAGCCAGAGGTTTGTTGAGTGTGCACGCTTACTGTCTGAATTCTGTGCGCTCGTAAATTCTCTTATCATAAATGACAAAATGCAGAAAAGATGTAGTTATGACAGCTACAGTGATTATAACAGGAGTTTTTGCATAACTTGCTCTAGACTAACGTCATGGACCATCTACATTTTTCTGTGTAGAATATGACGTGACGTTTCCCCAAACACAAAAACATTTGGTAACACTTTACTTGAAGGGGTGTGCATAAGACTGACAGGACACCTTCATAATCATGACATGACACATGTCATGAATATGAAGGAGGTTTTATGCATGTTTATGACAACTGTCATTAAGTGTCATTCGCTCAGTTATGTCATTTTTAATGCAAATATGACATTATTTGACCTAACCCTACCCCTACCCTTACCCCTAACCATAGCCCATAACAAAGACATCTCAAACAATGTCAGCTTTGCATTAAAAATGACATAACTGAGCAAATGACACTTAATGACTGTTGTCATAAACATGCATAAAAAAACCTTCATATTCATGATATGTGTCATATCATGATTATGTAGGTG